ACACAGACTTTGGGGTAAACAGGTTAACTAATAAACTTAGATATATTTTTTTCAGTGAGACATTTGATAAAAATATCCTAGGAATGTTGCTTAAAAAAGAAATGATCTTTCATAACACTTGAGCCTAAACGGACAGCCTGAGGACCAAGTTGCTAACCTCTAATTCTGTGTCTAAAATAAAACCACTTCGGAATCTGCCCTCAGATATGGCTAAGAATTTCTACTTAATCCCATATTTGTATAAGCAGAAACTTCCCGACCTACAGAGACCCTGTGTGCAAATCCATCGATAGTCTCTCCTCATCCCTATGGAAATCAGACCATCTCACAAGTAGTGGAAACGTCAACTTTTGCCCACACTCCGCATAGGACAGCCAAGCCATCTTCAGATAGCCCTGTGCCACCAGTGACTGCTACCCCGGGGGGTGGACGGTTTGCTCCCGGCACAATTTCTGAAAGCGTAACCCTCCCCCAGAGAACGACGCCACTTTCCCAGGCCGAACCTAGCAAGACACAGTGGATGCAACACCAAACTACGCCTGCACCATCTGAGGGAGCCCCTGGAAACATCACAGAACCATCTGATACAAGCATTTTGCAGAGCATTACAGGTTTGTCCCAGGCATGGAAGCATATTCCTAACAACAGCCTTCTTCAGCATGTCTGCATTAACCGTTCTTGATCTCACGCTTTGTCAGCCTTACCAGGTAGACCAGACAGGAAACATGATCAGATGAGCTAATTCTACTTTACTGTAAATCTACACTGACAGAATCTTGCAAGTCTGAAAGTACAATTCTCCCACCATCTCCTTTACAGCCCGAGAAACTAGGGAGGGTCCCTTCTGAGCCTCTTGCCCCGCCCTCTATCCAGTTGTGGTCAATGCTGTCTCTTATCTCAGGGTTCCTCAACCTTGGCAACTTTTAAGATGGGGGGACTTCAACTCCCAGAATTCCCCAGCCAGCCTTGCTGGGGAAGTTGAAGAAATGGAAGAAGAGGGTTGCAGGTCTACCCATCTCTGCCACGGTCCTGAGCCCCAGCGGTTCTCATTGTACCTCCTTACTCAAAGTGCCCCTTCTTCCCTCTTGCTTTTCCTTCCTCCCCCTTCAGATTATAGCCATACATGCACCAGCACCCATGCCCCCCTCCCAAGATCCCCCTTTCACTCACCTGCCTGGAAGTCTTTGTTGTAGACATACCAAGTTAGGCTGCAAGGTTCTGATCAGTTACCAGATGGCGGCAAAGCGTTGGAGTGCTCTGTATCTTTGCTGCGCTCTAGCGACCAGCTGGAGTTTTGAAGCCAGGATTTATTTCCTATGCCCCCGTTCCTTGGCAAGCAGGAAGGAGGAGGAAAGCGAGAGGAGGAAGAGAGGAGCCAGCAGCAACGGCCAGGAGAGTCACCAGGGCCTCCAAGGGCTGGCGTCCCAGTGCATGATGCTGCTGTTAAGACAACAGCTGTTGGGAGTGGCAGCAGAGGACGAGATGGTGGCTGCAGCATTGCCCCACCCTCCCGCCCTCCTTCTATGCCGCACTTTTGCTTTCTTGGTCTACCTGGTCTGGCCTACAAGAATCCATACCACCACTGGACAAGGGAACCTAACTCTGCTGCAGCCTGGTGGTTGCCCGTATGTTTGCACGGGAATATGCTAGACCTGCCATGCACAATAGCTTTCTGGAAGGCAAGTAATGGATATCATGGGGTAGGATGGTCCGAAAGGGCCCCGTGTGGCCCCAAAAGAGCTGCCACCCTTGCTTTCTGCCCTCCTTTCCCTGTCACTGTTTAATTTCCTCCAAGGACCAATGTGGTGCTCTTGTGCTCAGAGGACTGGAAGTATCTTGGGCGTTGGGGACTTGGTGCCATAATGTTGGGGCGAGTCTGATGGTCTGCAGAAGCGAAACAAAGCAACTTTGAAAGCAAAAATTGCCCTTTGAGATTTGCAGTATATTGAGCACCAGTTGGAAATGAAATGGGGAGGGGGGATGGCGGGGCGGCACAGGAATCCCCTGATCTAAAATCCTTACGGGCTAACTTTTCCTGGAGAAAGGTGTGTGTGTGTGAGGGGGGTGATACGTGTGCAATGTTTTATCACCCTTCACATTTGCTGAGTTTGCCCTGTTGCATCTGTGCATTTGGTCACCTCTCACCCTGTCATTGGACCCTTGGTTTCAAGCTGCAAATCAGGAGAAGGCAGAAGATGATGTTTAAATAATTTGTTGCACCGTGCACTTGTTTAATGTCAAATTTGCACAAGCACATGCGTGTACTCAGGGCAGCCCATCTCACCAGGCATCATGAAGTGTCAGATAGGGGAAGACTGTTTTTCACCTGACCGTAAGGGGGAAGTGGGGACATGGGTGCACATCATTGCAGAGCAAACTCTGCCCCTTACAGAGCCCCGTGCAACATCATAACACCGGTACTGAAAGAGCATTAATCCCATGTTTAAAGGGGGTCTGTCTAAAAGGTGATAAGTGTGTGAGTGGGTTGTGCAATGCACAGAAATGTCCCTCCCCATCGCAAACCCACCCCCTGTTGAGGTGATCTCGCCCAAAGCCAGATCCTTGAGTAGGGATCAACTTGGAGACTGGGCAGATAGAGTAGGAGAAGATGGTTTGGAACCAGAATGGTGGTGGAGAAGAGGGACCGGAGGGGAGGGCCGTGGGCAATAGGTGCCAGGCTGACCCCACCTCTTAGTGCCTCATCCGACTGCCCCCCTGACCGAATGGTTGAAATACGTCTGATGATATCCATGGCAAAAATTAGGTTGGAGTAAGAGGGAAAACACTGCTGTAATACCAGAACAACTCTGAGGGCAACGGAAGGCTGCCTCTGGTATGGACTCAGGATGAGACGAAGGCAGTGTCACAAGGCTGTGGCAGAAGAAAGAGGTTGCCAGATCCTGTTTGTGTTGTGGTTTGGTGCAAGGGAGAAAAGCTTGGGTCCCAAAGCAAGGCATGGAAACAATCCACACAGCTGACATATGCTCCCAAGCCATACGCTTCCTGCTTTCTGCGCTCTAAAGCATGTGCTAGGCTGCGCTTTAAGGGGATCTTCAGAAAGATATTGTGGATGAGGCCACTTCCCAGCTGGTGAGTATATCTGCAGTGGCAGGAGAGAGGAGCAGTGAAGAAGTGGCGGTTCCCCCCATCCCAGACAGGGAGTCCTCTGTCCCAACTGAGTCCCATAAGTCCAGATGCCAACAAGGGGCAGAGGTTCTGGTGTTGGACTGGACCCAGGGAGAGACTGATTCAAATCTCCATCAGTCCCAGAGCGTCCTGGGTCCCCTTGGGATAGTCGCTGTCTTGCCACTTGGTCTACCTCAATGGGTAGGGATAAAATAAGGGAAGCCACCTGTGCATTCTGCCATGAGCTTTCAGAAGAAAGGCAGGATATGAAAAGAATAGAGAAATTAACCTGATCCTCGAAAAGAAGCTGAGCGGGGAGAACTTGGGGGCTGCCAGCCAAATGATAACTCTCCTCTGTCCAGTCACATGGAAGGGAGCATCCAGACAATGTGATGATCCCTCATATCCTGCTGATTCCCCCTGCAGCTGGTTCCAGTGTTCCACCAGCATCCCCCCGCCCATGCTCAAGTGGAGAGAGAATGTGGAATAATTTCACAATCCTCCTCTGCAATCCAGGCGCCTACTGGGAAGCGTGTTTTTCTCAAGTGAAGATTACTTGTGGCCTTTGCCACTTCTTCCGGCTTCCTCCATTTTCCTGAATCTTCCCTGTTCCAAGCTAATCTGCACTGCCCTCAGTTCCCCCTGACGCTTCTGTATCCTTCATGGAGAAACACATTCTGTAGAAGGAATGAAGGGGGCCATTGTCTTGGGGGAGGGAAGGCAAGGAATGTGGGATCAGCAAACTGGAAGGAAAAACACCAAAGCAATTCCCGGGAACCAAATCCCTGGAAGACCTCCAGAGATGTCTCAATTGCTCCATAATTCAAGACTGACATTCCAAACAAATTGTCCTTGTGTGTTCCTCCCCCCCCCATTTTGCTCATGTGTTCCTTTCTTTTCCTTTCTTTCCTTTCCTTTTCCTTTCCTTTTCTTTTTTGCAAGAAGAGGAAGCAGTCTTTGATCAGAGGGATGGACCCTCTGGAAGAGGGCTGCCCAGTTTTCCAAATTCTCCTCCATCCATGGGGCACACTGTCCTGCTCCAAAATGAACCTGGATGGAGGGCACCCACAGGTTGCCTTGTAGGAAGATTACACTAACTCTTTCCAGGTTTAACTTTTATGCATTTATTTATGAAATGCAAAGATGCCCCTTTGGGAGGGATTTTCATTTCCCTATTCTCTCAGACGGATTAACTATAAGGGCTAGAAACTTACTGTTTAAAAACTGAAGTGGTACATCATCATACCAGCTTCCAACATACGATTTTGCATTTGCTGTAAATTATAGGATGTCAAAAGCTAAGGGATGCACCTGCTTGCCGTGAAAAGAAGGGGCAAACCATTTTTTAATTTTTATTCCTTAATATTCCTTTTCTTTCTTTCATAGGTTCTGTTTTCTTCAGAATTGGATTCCCTTTTTTAGGTAAGGAGTATTTCTGAATATATAGCGTTTTAGCAGCCATCCAAACTGAACAGCCTGATTTAATTATTTATATAAAAGATAGAATTTGCACCCTACAGGCAAAGATTGGCCCCAGGAGTGACCAAGGAGACTGTCAAAAAAGTCAAGATGGTGGCCACAGCTGGCTAGTCAAAGCCCCGTCCACTTTTAACATCCTTTGCGATGCAAAAGGGTATGATTGCGCAATTGTAGTTAGCATCTTGACTTTTTTGACCCTTACCCAGACACCCCTGATTAAGCCTAAATGGGGTGGGTAGTTGGTGCTTCATTGTATTATGGGAATTGTCAGCCCCAGTTGTAGCAGTGAACTAGGAAATCTCATTAAACCATACTAGGACTTGAATGTAGCATTTTATGCAAACCCAACAATTCAGTTCTGATAGTTGAAATTTAGGGTTTAGGATGCAGTGGGAGCACAGCTTCCCTGGGCATCTCAGTACCCTTTCACACTCAATCCTGTTCCCAGGCCCTTCACAAGGTCCTGCTTACCTGCTCCTTCACCTGAAGCTTCCAGCCCCCCGGCTTTTCCAAATGATGGTGGCTTCCCACTTTCTTCGTGTTTGGGAACATTTTGTTCTAGTTGATTTCCTCCCCCAAAGGTGCAGTGTTTGTCAGCATTCCATGGTGTGCCTAAAACTGCGGTTGGCTCAAAATTAGGCTGGCTTGCAACAGGGAACTTTTTAGGAGTGAGTATCCATTTTAATTCTCTTTTCTCTCTAGTAGTGATCATCCTATCAGCAGGCTTCACATACTACTGCTGCTGTAGAAGACAACGGTAAGCTTTGCTCTATTAATTCTTAGCATTGGCACTAGCTTTAATCTGTGTCTGTATAGGTCCCTTTGAGAGCCAGTGTGGTGTAGTGGTGAAGGCACTGGGCTAGAAACCGGGAGACCCTGAGTTCTAGTCCTGCCTGAGGCACAAAGCCACCTGGGTGACCTTGGGCCAGTCACTTTCTCTCAGCCCTAAGAAGGAAGCAATGGCAATCCCCTTCTGAAAAACCTTGCCAGGAAAACTGCAGGGGTTTGTCCAGGCGGTCTCCAAGAATCATGATTGAATGGATTTTTTTTTTTTAAGTTTCCTTTAGCTCAGTCTTTCCCAAGCCCCCAAACCCAGCTATATGGGGATCCTTCCCCAAATTCCCAGCCTGCCGTTTTCCAGTCTTTGGGAATCTCCCACCTGTGATTCCAGGGACTTAAGTTGTCAAGAAGAGGATTAAATTCCTCAGCTCTGGTCTTTTTCCCATTGTGATGGCCAAGTTCTTCCAAAATCAGCAGGGAGCTGATGAAGTCCTCCAACTCTTGCTTTTTCAAAGTCTAAATCTTCCTCGCCAGGTGTTTGTGTGCCAGCCATTTCCTTGCTTGCCCTGCAAATATATCAGGGCATTTTTTGACTCCTAAGACAGAGTTCTTGATCATTGGAATGGATTTTTTTTCCTAAAGAAAAAAAACAAAAGGCAGCATCCAAACTATGCCCAAGAGACAAAAGGAGGGTTTGTTTCAGGTTACTGCCTTTTAAAGGAATTTTATTTTAGATCCTCACTGTTTTTTTTACATTGCCATGTTCCACAAGGACTTGTGGCAGTAAACAGTTAAAAGCGAGGGATTGTCACGACAACAAACAGTGCAAAATGTAACGAATGTATTAAATTTATTTATTTAGCCAGCCTCAAAATCCTGCAGGTCTTTGAATGCTGCTGCCAGCTTCTTCTCAATGTGGGACTGCCAGCTTGATGTCCCGCTGCATTAATGTCCTTTCATCCCACAGCAATCTTTGGAGGCAGCCCAAAGCCCCCCCTGTGGAATTGATCCCAATAGACCCCACAGGATCAGAAGAAGAAAGACCAGCATCAGCCAGCAATTCCCAGGATCCAGGACCAGTTAATGAAGAAGACCCAATGCTATCACCCCACAGGATTACCTCCACCGGCTGAATGGTGCCTCTGAGCAGATGGTCAAGGCAACTTCTAGCCCTGGAAAGGAAGTCATTTGCACGATGTTGGAAATGGTGCCCATCCACCTCCTGTTGCAAAGCCGTCGGAAGGAGGCTGGAAATCGCTTTTGGACTCCTACAGTTGTCCCTGGCTTGTGGGGGGAGAATCCAGCAAGTGTATCTGTGTAAGAAGAGGCTGAGCATGAGAAGAGGGAAAGAGGAGGGAAGAACATGTGAAGCGGAGTTGGAAAGGATGGGGAAGCAATGCCCTGGAGAGATCAACGAAGGCATATGTGAGGAAGAGGAGACAATGGAGAAGGGATCGAATGGGGTAGACGCTTCACCTGCATATCTTGGAGAGGAAATAAGGTGAGCTGAAATATATATTTCTTTTCTGGTATAATTAAAAGGGAGTCAATGTCCCACAGTTCAGAGCTGTACCTCAGAGACTGGGAACCTTCAGCCCTGACCTCTAATCTGACCTGCCTCTCTCCAGCCCCACCTCCATTTACACTCAAGTGTGCAAGTTTCCACTCAAAGTGGCCTACATGAGCATCTCTTTTCACTTTATCCCCACAACAGCCCTTGGAGGTAGGTTGGACTGAGACAGAGGGACTGACCCAAAGTCACCCCATGAGCTTCTGTAGCTGAGGCTGGATCTCCCCAGCTCTAGTCCAGCACCTTCACTGCCCTAGATCTTGGGAGAGAGGGACTGAGGGGGAGACCAGAACCTGGGTTTCTTTCTTCTTAGTCCAGCTCCTTCACCTCTGTACCATTCTGGTTTTTGGGCTGAGGGAGAGAGACTGGCCCAACATCCTCCAGAGCAGGGTTCCTCAACCTTGGTGACTTGAAGATGTGTGGACTTCAACTCCCTGAATTCCGGGCTGGCTGGCTGGCTGGCTGGGGAATTCTGGAATCCTTGAAGTCCACACATCTTCAAATGGCCAAGGTTGAGGAACCTTGCTCCAGAGAACTTCCATGGCTGAAGGGAGACTAGAACCTGGGTCTCCCCACTCCTAGTCCAGCACCTTCCATGCTGGATCACACTGTCTCTGGCGTTGAGAAGGAGGAACTGGCCCAATGTCACCCCATGAGCTTCTGTAGCAGAGGGGGGACCAGAACCTGGTCTCCCCACTCCTACTCCAGCACCGTCGCCTCTGTACCATCCTGGCTCTTGGGCTGAGAGGGATTGACTGTCCAAAGTGCCCTGGGCAACTTTGGGGGGTGAGTGGGGGACTGGAACCTGGGTCTTCCCGGGCCTAGTCCAAGACTAAGTGTTACACATCACTGGTTCTCCTTAGAGTTTAAGGGCCTCCTAGAAGTTGATTCAAAAAAGAATAGGACATTCAGTTCAACACGGCCCCAGCTAACGTCCTCCTTCTGCACATGTTTCCCTCCCAGAGGGTTTATCATCCATGGGGAGATCGATGAATTATTCCTACAGCAGGAAATTAGTGGCGCCTGTGGAGGGACCACCTGCCTGAGCAGGTGAAAAGCACCTGTGCTCCCCCTTGGCCCTCCCCCGTTGCCAGGACGACCCAGCTGCCAATCCAACAGCAGTGGCCAATCCAACAGTAGCGTTGGGCAGGAGGCGGGGGGAGGAGGAGGGAAGACAAGATGGCTGCCTGGCAGTTCCTGAGGAAAAGGCTGTCTAAACCGAGCCAAAGCCCACAAGTCAAAGTAAAGAGCCAAACTAAAAGACAGGCAGCCCTGATGAGAAGAGGCAACCCGAGAGGAGGCAGCCTCTGATAAAAATGGGGCAGAGAGAGGTGCTTTTTGCTTCCCTCAGACCTGGCGTGAGGGAAACATTTCCCTCAGGTGGAGCCAACATTGGGAAGAGGTGAAAAGCCCAAAAGCCCCGCCAGAGAAAGAGGAAGAAAAAGCCGAAACCTGGACCAAACAGAAATAGAAACAGAAACTCAAAGACATGTTGAACTCTGTCGAAAAAGGAGTATAGCTACAGTGACCCTGTTTTCTTGGAAAAAATAAAGGACAAACCTGGAAAAGGGGCAAATCTGAAAGAGGCTCATAAGGATATAGGAAAAAAACCCAATAGTTTATGTTTGTAACTTTGCTTTACGAAGGAAAATTCAAGGGCAAAGCCAAGAATAATAAATAATTAAATTAAATAAATCTAAAGGGCAAAACCAAGAATAATAAATAATTAAATTCAATAATTCTAAAGGGCAAAACCAAGAATAATAAATAATTAAATTAAATAAATCTAAAGGACAGCTTTCAGAAAGCTGTCCTTTAGATTTATTTAATTTAATTATTTATTATTCTTGGTTTTGCCCTTGAATTTTCCTTCATAAAGGACGTATGGTCACCGTACAGTTGGTGGCAGAGGTGGGATTGCCTCAGGCTCGAGGAGACCTATAAGGGCTGGGAGTGAAAAGGAAAAAAGAATTGGCTGTTAGAGAGAGAGACTTTGGTCCACATGGATCTTGTACCCTGCAGGCCCTGTTCAGCATATTGGTCGCAGAAACGAGACCACAAACCAGAGCTTACACTAGGTAATTAGAGATGGCTAAGACTGAGGGTGCTGCTGTTCCTCTTGGGGAAGCAGATGTCCAGCCTCAGCCTAATGTTAAGTCAAAGGGAAGGTTGGAGCCATGGGGTTCGAACCTGATTGTGGGGCTAATATGATTAGAGAAATACTGAAGCTAAGAAGATCTAGTCTAATTAGAAGGGCAGATGAAAACCCCAAGGGGACCCAACTTACGACTCTCCCACCCTCCGCCATCCATATGGCCATTGGCAAAGGATTTGCAATCCCACACATCTGAAGGGTTACAAATATGCTAAATATGCCCCCTTGAGACCTGTCATGAAGGAAAAAGAAGATGCGGATATAATAAATATTGTCAAGTGTTCCCACAATCATAGTCCCAGCATCCAAAATAATGACTCGCAATACCCAATTAGATCAGTGTTTGGGAGACATGGTTTTGGTGTTCCTACCACAAGGGGATTAACTAAATGCAGTCTACTAACCCCAAGAGGCTGAATTTAAGGCAAAAAAACAAACCAAAAACAGTTATGCAGAGGGTTGAATTCACTCTGCCCAGTCAGTCTTGTAATGAGAACACCCAAACCCAGTCAGTTGCCAGCCTAACTTCCAAGAAAAAGTGTTGTTGAGAAGAAGCAGATGGAAAAGGAAACCTCTCTATTACAGAAACCACTGCTCAAGCTGGGAACGTGCTTCCTGACACTGACGGGCCACAGCGAGTAAAAGATACCATCAGCTGTTTACCTGAGCAATGGAGAAGAAGTCCTATTCCCCAAATGATTACATGCTGTAGATTCTGATTAGACCAGGAAGCTGTTTTCTGGGTTAAGCCTATGGCAGGAACAGGGCTAGATTATATTTTAAGGAAAGTCCCTAGTTGGATCCTTAAAATTGGCCTTGGCAGATTTCCTTCGACAAACACACAGAAAATTGCATCATTGGCTTGTAATGTTCCTTTAATTTCTCAGGGGAATCTCCAGTCCGTGTGGCCAGTACATTTTCTTGCCTGCGCCTTTCACGATTCGAGTAACCATCCTTTGGTTCCCAAGAAGCCAACAATTTCAATTGTTTCAGAATGGGCTTTTCTTGAGGTTCGAGACCCCTGGTCCATTATGTGTCGGCAAGCGTCCTGACTTTCAGGTTACATGGGGGATGGAAAACTTTGCAGAGTCAAGTGGCGTAAGATGCTACCAGAGGCTAGTTTTGTGAAGGAAGCATGCACCTCCAGAACCAAGTAATATACTCTCCTGGTATAAACAGAGAGAAGATCCAATCAACAGCCATGGAATACTCAAATGAAGGTTCCCCACACGGGCTCTTTTCTCCCCACCAATCAAGGAGAAATAACTTTAAAGTTAACAATTAGCATTCCTGGATGCTGTAAGCATCTAAGAGGGCAGCAGCGTTAGGTAATGGAAGGGCATTCCTGGAGCTGTCTGGCCTGGCGCTGTGGCTGTATCAAGGAGGAGAACCTGCCGTGGAGCCTCAGCAGGGGCCAGCGGGATCCAAGAGAGCGATCTGCTGAGCGAACGGCCGCTGGAGAGGACTGAGTCTCGGAGAAGAGAGGAATCAGAAGTCGGCCGGGATGGCTTGACCGAGGGGCCAGAATCCAGAAAACCCAGAAAAAGAGTTTTGGTGTTTTTTGTTTTTCCCTTTTCCCATTCTCCTCCCTAGGGCAGAAGCAAGCCCTGGAGTTCAGAAGAAAGCTGCAGGAGACAACGAGTGAAAGAGATCAGATCCTGTGAAAAGCTCCCTTGGAAATTGTCTGCATAGACCTGTATGCGTACCCTTTGTTAAGCTCAAACCACTACATGTATGTTAAATATCACTGTAAGTGGAACAGAACTGGGTGGATCTGTCTGGAAAACTCCTGTCCCGTTTTCCCCACCCTCTGACAGAGGCTGACAGTGGTTGATGGGATTTGGAGCAGATCCAGACACACAGATAGGTCTTAGTGCACAAGGAAGAGAAGTAATTTGGTGAAGTGAAAGAAAGAATTTGGATCCAGAACTCTATTCAGGAAATTACAGCAGTGTTCGAAGCAGATCTGGATACTAGGCCAGATGCAGCTGTACTACATCCAGATGCTGGAACCCCCTGTGGGAGTGGAAGGGGCTGTAGGTGGAGAGAATCCCACTGTTAATCCTAGGCAAAGGGAAGATGACTCAAAGGAGGAGCTTTTGAACCCTGGCTAAAAATGTGCCAGCTGATGTGCCAGAAGCAAGAAGAAGATAGTTGCTGGAGAGAAGCTGAGAGATGGAGAGATTAGAGAGGGGGGCTTGTCTAGGAGAGCTTTTTAAAAATTAATTGCATTTAATGTTTTGAAAGAATATAAGGGAAAAGAAAAATATAAGTAAGAAAAATACAGGCCATGTAGGAAAAACAGGAAGCAAGATACAGATAATTATCCCTATTGGACTTGGGATTGTACATACCTGGTTAACACATTACAAATCGCACTATAAACAAAAAGGAATACTTTCACTGAGGTTTTTTTTTCTGATTGATTGATTCTGTACCCTCAAGTCATTTTGGACTCCTAGCAACCACATAGATAGATTTTATCCATGGTGATCTATCCCTAACCGGGTCTTTCAAGTCTCTCAATGGCGTCCCTGTTGCCACTGTAACTGAGTCCACCCACCTTGCTGCCGGTCATTCGAAGTAGGATAATTTGAGCCTGGTTGTTGGGAAAAAACACAGTTCTGTAGACAAGAAAACCCAAGCTTTGCACGTGGCACAAGTCCATATAACAATATAAGCCAAGAATGGTTTCCAAATAGAATTAAATTCTCCTCAGATTTACTTTTTATGTAGCAAGTAAGAGAGGGACATTAGTGACATTTAATTAGAGGCATCCAGAAATGGGAGCAAAATCTTCTTCCCCGCCCTGTGACAGGATATGAAAATCCCAGGTTTGCAGAAAGGGAGGATATAGAATCCTTCCTTATCATGGTTGAAAGGGGGGCAGCCACAGGTCCCTGGCCAGAACAGGGATGGGCAACAGGATCGCCTCCAGCCTTACTGGAGAAGCCCTCCAAGCTTGCTCCAGCTTGCCTGCCAGAGACATTGCAGATTATGAAAAAGTGAAAAAGACTCTCACAGTGCTATCAAGTAATGAAACATGCCACTTTTACATTGAGAGCACAGTTACAATATATTGAAATAACTGATGGGAAACTTTATTGTACCAGGCATAATTTATATGCTCTGTAAGTAAGATCCATGTGTTTTATACGTTCAGCTGACATTGCAGTTTGTGGCTGATGCCTCTTTGGTTTTCGGCTCTGTGAAAGGTCTGCAGACCAAAATGTAATTAAAATTCTGTAATGAATTGCACATACATGGAGAGATTTCGGGAACATCCATATGGAGCTTGGGAAGAAGTCAGAGATCTGTGGGGCTGATCGGAAGACTTAGGTGGTCCCTGGTTACCCCCAGAGTAAAGGTGTCCAGGGGAAATAACGGAACAAGGCGGGTTGGAACAGTTCCTAAACACTCTGCCAGGACCAGGGTATTACCTAGACCAGTGTTGTATATATCAGTTCCCAACTTCCTTCTTTTATAATGTGTATAAGATAGT